TCTCCACCATTATCAATTGATAATACGAAAATTAAAAATTGTAATTGTAAATTGCGCGCAATCGAAACTAATTAAATCGGTAAGTGTAATATTTCTTTATCGTTATAGGCGATCAAATTCAGTACATGTTTTCACAATACGAATAAAACTTTTCGATGTCTTTGGTGCCATGAAAATTTGGTGGTAATTAATTGTATGGAACAAAATTACAGTATTTCTTTGTTAAGAAAATTTAATGACAGATGTACCGTACAATAATTTGTGCCTGATAATAATTGTGATACTTCTCGTTGATCTGTTTCTCGAGAAATTTTTTATTTGCACGAAATCATAGTGGTTATATCGGTATATTCGCAAGTACGTACATAATTTTGTAAGTTCTTGCAGAAAGGCTTGACTTGGGAAAGTAACTTCTGCATAATTTGCAGGCTCATCTGCTACCACTACCATATAAATACTGCCACCATATTACTTTCCTTTGAAAATAACTGTAAAGTTTCCCTTGACGATCTAAAGTAATATGAAAATAATAGCCGGCCGTAAGGAACTCCTCTTTCCTCCGAATAAGTTTCAAAATCATTTTTATATATATTTTTCTTTTATTTTTTTTCTTATAAAACACGGGCTGAAAAAAGTTGTTAATTCCCATCTGCAACAGTTACTCGCAAGCTAATAATTTTTACATCATTTTCTTCCAACCTAGTTTCAATCTTTTGCATTAATAGTTTTTTATGGATTTTCTTGGATGTAAAAGCCAGGTGCCCGAAGAGCAGCTGAACATTTGCATAAAATTGATTGCATAAAAGTTTTAATGTATACGTTTCCCTTTAGAACAACGTTCTTGGGGCGAAAGAATTGTACCGTAAAAGAGTTACCGCTGCATCATAAATAATTAAATATTTCAATAATTTCGTTTAATCCGTTTTCATTGAATAATTAGAGAAACTTGTACTGTCAATATTTGAAATTTAAGGACCATGCCCTTTCATTCGTCACTAATATCACTAATATCAACTTTGACATCATTAAGTGAACTCTAGTCTGTCAAAATATAATTTACCCTTTTTCATCTTTTCAATTTGTAACAAAAAAGTATTCTCGAAAGCAATGAACTCCTTGGCCCACGATTCGGTTGAAATCTGTGCTTGATAGAAATGCTTTGTCGTTACTAACGTACTAGTTCACTCTAAAGTATACTATTTAATGACAGCAAAATATAGTAGAATCTCGATTATACAATTTAATTAGATAATAACAACCCAGATGAATGGATAATTGAAGAGAAATTGTTTAAAGAATGCTTGCAAACTTAGGTCATATACAGGTTGTCGTGTAACTGGTGGTACAACCGAAGAGGAGTTGATTCTATAGAATCAGAAACAAATAAGTCTAAAATATAGAAATATATTGTGAATAAAGAATATAGAATAGAATGTGTTCATACGAGGCTTTGTTTTTTAGAAAATCAACTTTGAATATTCGCCGGGTACGCGTGCACTTGACTATGTCTCACTATTAGATCTCACTTTAAATCACTGTTTCGATTGAAGTTTATGTTGATAAAATGATATAGGTAAAACGCCACGAATATGTTTACTGTACTTGAGAGTTGAAAATGTGTAATGAAACAGAATGTTAAAGTAACCATAAACTTTATTATCACAGAAATTATTGAAAACGTTGTCCATTCTGTCGAGTACACAATTCTGCTCTTCTAATGAAGTTTCTACGAATGCTTTGTAACGCATTCTGTTGTTTTAATTCATGAAACGCTACAATAAGTAGGGTGTGCTCCGATTCCCCTTGCCCCTATGGGATGTTAGGTTGTGGGTAATCGGTCGAGACTTAAAAGGCTTACTGTAGGATAGTAAGATAAACATTTTCGTGACGCTGGAAGTCTTTATCGATATAAACTTCAATCGAAACAATGATTTCTAATGAGATCCAATAACGAGACATGGTCAAGTGCACGCGTATTCGGTAAAGATTTTTTCAGATAAAACTCACAATATTCAAAGTCGATTTTTTAAAAAACAAAACTTCATACGAGCACATTTTATTTTACATTTTCAACTTATTTTTTCATATTGAATCAGCTCCTATTCGGTTATACTGCCTATTGCATGTATAAACAAAAGCATAATCTAAGGTTTGGAACTATTTAGTTGCTGAATAACCAAGACTCCAACTAAGTATTTGAAATTACAAACAATAGAAACCTGATTAATCGAGGTTCTACTGTAATATTTGATTTAAACTCAGAAAAATTGGATTCCATTTTTAAATGGAATTACTAGAATATAGAAAAGCTAAACAGTTTTCGGGTAAAAGCTAGTTTCCCGTTCGGTCTCGCAGAAACCGCGCGTTCGCCATTTCCCCGTAGTTAGAATTCACTTCCAAGATCGTATCATAGCAGGGGCCAGGGGTTTTCGTCGACATCTGGTTTCCTTTTTCAATGACACGGGCATAACGGCGCCAGGGCGACCGATATAATTCGAACTTTTCTGTCACGGTGACACGTGCACAATTTAGTTTCCCCGGCCGCCATCACAGCTCGCGCGAGCCAGCGCGTTCATCCCTCTGAACACTCATTCCTGCAAAATAAAAGTTGCCGACCGCGCAATGAAACAGAGCACGAGGACTGGCTCGAGAAACATCCGACATTATCGCGATAATGCAGCGTCGTCTTCTAGCCAGGTCGGCACGCGGTGTATCCATTACTATTACCTTTTTATTTTCACTGTCGTACGTGTGGCCACCGTGGAACATTCACTTTCAAAACCCTGTGTACGCTTCGCGTTGCGACCCGATGGACGCTCGTAAATTCGTCCCTTCTTAACGGCGCCGTTAATAGCAGGGAAAGAAATTGAATGCCTGATTTGTCGATCGTTTTCTAAAATTGTTTTCAGATATGAATCATTCATTTTCCGAAACGATTAACTCTACAACACGTAAAGTGGAGAAATTTGATGAAAACAAAATGGACAAAATGGAGTTAGTTATTTTATCCTGCGAACTGTTCATACATGGGTATTTAGTTTAGAATAATAGTGGCCTGACCACTATTTTCGAGACCTCATGGAAGAATAAAGTTTTTGTGAAATGTTCTTGGATTAATTCAATACGAATATTACGATCATTAATGTTAATAATAAAAAATAATTAGTAATAATTAGTAATGATTGACATCGTTAATAAGATTATAATATTAGTGTTCAATTTATCCAAAAAAGTTTCACGAAAGCTTTCTTTCTGAAGAACTCTTTCTAGAAAAATAGAATTTATGTTTCTAATTTTTTGTTAATATTTCTTTTAGTTTGAATGTTTAAAGTCATCTTGGAAAATGGTAAATACATGTACTGTTTTTCAGTATTTGTATTGAACATTCTGATAACTTTAACTCTTCGTTTCAAGTTCAAGTTTTTTAACCTTCTTTTCTTTTGAAGTTAATGTAGGGTATTGAACAAGCGTATTCATGCAATATGATCCGACGTCTCATCATAAACAGGAAGATGGAATTCCTAGAGAGAAAACAAAAGTATACGATTTAAATTAGGATTGACCGTAACCGCGAGATGCGGAACAAAAGGAGCAAGTGCGGCGAAGGATTCGATTTAGAGCTAATGGAACGTACATGTCACAGAGTTTTCTCGAAGGGAACCAGAGCAAAAAATATCGGCAGTTACAAATGTGTACGCCTTTAGTTCTGTCTCGTTTTTTCTCTTACGACATACCCAATATTATTTTTTTCGCTTCTCAGGAAAACAAGGGAGACAGTTTCAAGAATGCACGAGCAAAATATGTTCAGTTCTCTGTGTAAATAAATGTAAAATGTGGTCACAGAGAATACGATTTTCTTTCATTTTAAAGTTGGATGAGGTTTCTTTGTTTCAAATATCTTAAAATTAGATTGTCTAAAATTGAAATGTCTGAAAATACGATTAACTTGTTTATGAAATAGTGAATATTCTATACATTCAATGAAAACTGGGAACAAACGGTAATTCACCAATGCATAAAGTATAAAATAGTAAGAAACATCACCAATTGATTCCAAGGATTTAGTTTTATTATAGGTTCAGGCTTTTACATGTTCACGTGATGAAATAAGATATTTTTATTTTCTTTCATGATTTTTAGCAACTGGCTACAGGCGTATCTACGACAGTAAAACGCTTCGCATATTCGAAAACAAAACATGGGCAATAAACATTGGAAAGTAAAACGAATGCAAACAAAAATTGCAATAAAATAGAGTGTTTTCTATGGCGTGTAGATACATTGGTGTGCGCAATGAATAAAATTTCACAGTTACTTTTACAAAAACTGCGTCGCAGATTGCCTTGCAATCGAATACGTCCGAATCGAATGAACAGTCTGGAAATCATTGTCAGGCATTAAGCTTTATCGGTTGCGTTGGTCGTGCCCGAATTTATTCGTCAATTTGTCTTATGCCAATAAGCCTGTTGAAAAGATATATAGAACACGGAGAATTGAAAGTAATAAAGAAAGCGCCGGCGCTCAAAACGGAAGAACAGATTTAATTGAGCTCGATAATGCCTGGAACGTTTTCGCTTCTATATATATTCAATGGAACTGTATGTAAGTTCTTGCAAAAGTTTCAGGAAAGTATGAGAAAAGTTACAAATAAGTTTGAACTAACGGATTTATTGTTTTTCAAAATATTTCCCTTCAACATTGATCAATTTTCCATTGTGTTATATCAGCACTTTCTGATTTTGAAGCTAAAAAACTTTACGAAAATAATATAAATAGACAATTGAATTTCGAATTCCTGAAACTTTTGCAGTAACCTGCGTATTGCAATGGAATGGAATATTAGTTTTTTTACTTTATCAAGATTAACGATAATGAACAAAATTGTACGCACCTATACAACTGAAGTTTCTTCTCGCGTGAAATATTATGATAATTACTTTCGTCGTAATAAAGAATGATTTAATATTTGTATTATAGAAATTTTTTCTGTACTTTTCCAGCAACCGAGGAGAAATTCGATCTTGTATATAGAAAGAAAACCATAGATGATAAGGATGGAGTGGTGATAACGTGCATAGCAGAAGGGTTATTTCCAGAACCCACCCTGGATATATCCATCGAGTAAGTACCCCAGCTGGTTTTCCACCCTCCGAGCATGCACTAGAGTAAACTGTCCAATTTTCTGATGTTTTCAGATCTTGATAAACGTGGCGTTTCGCTTATTTATTAACAAATAAAATGCTATTTTTCGCGATACGCAATGGTCATTAAATTACTGCACTAGATAATGTACGGGTAAATACTTTCAAGGAAGCGTAGAAATTTTCTGGATTTCATTTACGTGACTTAATACATTTATTCTTGCACACAAATCGTGACAATATGAAAATACAGTTAAGTTCTACTACTTATTGTTAAATTGTTATTTAGAACAATGTTATTACATTTCGAAAACGTTATCGTATTCTTGCTTCATATAGTTTCTTTATATATTCTATGGTATCTAGTAAATGTCAATTGCAAGCGGTCCTATGGAAACGTGGACAAAAGTCATCCGATTTTAGCACCGGAACTTCTCAGTGATAACAACGAATCCTGTGAAACTGTGTCGCAAAACTGTTATCTGAAATAATAAAACCAGTAGTACAAAGGGTGGACAGCGACTGAGCTAAGATGGGGCAGCAACGAATTATTATTAGTAATTTACAAACACTTACAGTCCCAAGATAGACATAAAAAAATAACGATATAAAGGAATGTGCAAAAGAGAACTTGTTAATTCATTATATAGTCGTTTACGAATAATAATCGTAATAATATTTTTATTTGATTCAAACCTTTGGTAATAGGTGCATTAGACACTTCTCAGTCATAAAACGAGCCGTTCATTTACCATGTGATTAAGTCCCCAAAACGACAGTACGCGCGTAAATAAAGTTACATTATCGGAATATCAATAAAACATTAAGTGTACTACGTGGAAAATTTGAACTAATTAAACAAATGATGTTAGTCGCTTTGCCCTATGAACGACCCAAGTAACGCCTGTACTTAAAGAAAAATGTCATGCCGTCACAGTGGCCAATCACAAAGGGCCAAAGAGCACGTACTGCGCGCGAAATTTTCGAGCGTGCCCGCGTCAATGAATTGCCACGGATCCGAGCGAAGGAGCATTGTCATCTGGCGCGATTACTCGGCCGTGGTTAAGGGAGAAAATCGCATGTCCTGTTTCGGCGCGGAACGGCCCCGTGTATCGCATGACGTTTCCTCTTTAACGCGACCCGTGATAATTTTGCAAACGTCGCCTCCCGTTGCAGGGGTCTTCCGGAAAAGCAAGCAGCGAAGCCCAACGTTACGGTGCGCAAAGATGGACTGTACGATATCTTATCACGAACGGCCTTGCTGGACGAAGATTTACCGGAAGCGGCGATTGTCAAATGCTTGCTCGGTATACCGAAGGCGAACTACAACGTTTCCCACAAAACCGTCTACTATCCCGGTTAGTATAAACGTTATTTTAATCTCTCTCTTAATCTATCTGTTGTTTCTATCTGTACTTCGGTGCCCCTTATCTTCCCCTGCCGGGTCGCCACGGAACACCGGAAGTGTTCAGTGATTCGATCTCGAACGCGACGGCGAAACATACCGGAGAAAAAAGGATGTCGTTGGTCATTAGAGCGAAATCTAGTCTCTTGTGTCTATTAACCCGCCATGATGACATGTAACTTTGAAGTGATGCACTCTCGTGTGTCTCCGGATTTCAAAAATCTCATTTCGTTTCCTCGTTTCATGTTTTTCAGGGTCTTTTTGTTACACCGCACCTTCATAACCGCGAATTTTCCACATGGTTCTAGCTTCTATTTCTTGCGTTTCGATGAATACTCAGATTCATTTTAAACCTGCAGGTATCGATTATTTCATGGAATTATTAGCGTTTTCTTCTGCTTCGTTATTTCTGAATTTTATATGTTACGCGTGATAACGATATTGAATCCCTATTGGATTAAAGAAATCTGAAATTAAAGGAAATATGCGGGAGAAGAAAATAGTTGTGATTGTTACCTCAAGGGAGAAGGCGTTATAAAATGCTAAGATATAAACTCAACTAGTCTGAATGCAATATCAAATTCTCTTCGGAAGTGAAATGTAAATATTTTTACGTATGTATGTACATAGGTCCAAATTCTAACTTCAAAGTTACAGACCGTCTATTTTAGTAAACTGTATTATAGTAGAATTTTTAAAAATTTTTAGTCCATTGTTCATTCATATGCAGAGAATAATGTTTACTTAAGATTTCAATTGTAGAGAGTTACCAATATTTTATTATCAGACATTCTTGCCGTTTTCTTAGTTAAGTCGATAGAGAGTCACTGGTTTTTCACGACGAACGTTGACGAAATAAAATCCTAGACGGTATAGCAGCCTCTAACTAGGAGAGAAGACATTATTTAAATAAAAATATAGAAAATAGAGGGTTTTATTCGATTAAAATCTAACTTTGACTATCGATTACGATTACTAAGTCGTCGAAAACATTTGTGCTGAGATAAATAAGGACGCAAACGTTCCAGAAGACCTAATAATTTACCCGCCGTCGATCAATTTGTCGACAGTGGGATCACGAGATAGCATATGATAACACGGAACACGTGAACGTCGTGCATATATCAAAGTACTTGACGGTTGTCAATATTAATTATTTTCCGTCTTGCCATCTTTTATTCTCGAGAAGTGCTTAAAATATCATTGTTGCGGACTGGCTATTGGTTTGTATTTCCGTTCCCGTGTGTAATGTTCTTTCTGTCCAGTGTGCACAGGCTTTCCAGTGCGTATAAACAAGGCATGTCAATAACAAATTAAACATCATGGACTGTTAGCGAATTCAGATTGTTATGCGTGTGTAAACAAGCTCGTGTGTAATATATACGTGTATATACGTGTATGCTGGCTGACCTATTTAAATAGGTCCGCACGGATATCTTCGAAACTGTAGATGCTGGAAAAAAATGTGTCAAACAACAATTTGGCGGTTTCAAGGGGCATTTCATTTCGTATATGTAAGTATTATAGTTTCTTTCTATATGAGCGCGTAAGAGACATGTTATGACATATGAAGACATTAGTTTTCGAGATATCTTAATCTTAATATTAGAAAATAGTACACAATTCCCATATAACCGACATTCAGAAAGCTGATTATAGTAAGTCTTACCTATACCATTATTCAATATTGGAATTAAGATATTGCGTAAACTAAGAACTTTTCGCTATATCGGGTTAGTACTTCTGCAAAATAAATGATGAACTGTATCGCTCAGAGCATTAAAAAGCATATAGTTCCAGTTAAAGAGACGAAGTTGACCTTCGCATATCATTCGTGCGTTCGTATAGGCAAAAATCACTTATATGAGGTGACGTGTGCTTTGAAACCACCAAACTTTTGTCTAACACATTTGTTTGTATCACCAATAGTTTTGAAGATATTCTGGCGGGTTTATTTAAATGGGTTACCCTATATGTGTATGTATATCGTGCGGAACACGTCACCGTCAGGTTCAAAACGATATCTTCCTCCGACTCGTCGAATGAAACACTCTCCACTCCCTCGCGTGCCTATACCTGCACACGATGGTGTGGACGTGCGTATGTCGTTGTGCCAATATACGTATCTTTCCCTTCTCTTTTTTTTCACGGGTCTATCTTTCATGGGACGCGGAGATACGCGCTGGAAAACGTCGCGCTCTTCCGCGTTTCCGCTTCCGCGAGGGAAATATTGCGACGCGATGAAACGAACTTCCGTCCGGGAATATTTGGTTTCGGCCGAATGAAAGCTTTTCAGAACATTTAATAAAGTCAAACGGGAAACAAAACGGGCCATACAAAAAAACGGGGAGAGAGAACGAAAGAATTGCCGCTGCTGACCTCTAACATTTCACGGCGCGTGATGGACAGAATCGAGCGAAAATTACACGGTACACGGAACGTAATATGGAATTTGATGAAATTTATTGGCTTGGAAAATTCGTCCGGCGACTACGCGAATATTGATTCGGATGAACGTCGCGTTGTTTAAAAACTGTCACAGTATGCACCGTCGGAATTATTCGATTCCCGAGTAAGCGCTGTTTTGATAGATCCTTAACCGACAGAATTGTTGTCTAATCAAATTAGCTCGAGCAACATTCCGTGTTTAAATTGAAAACAAAGGTTATGGTAACGTTCTTCGTTCCGTCGATATGAAAAGATCGATGTTTCTCTTGAAAGCCAGGTTGCATCGGCCATTACAAAGAATTTCTTTCGATATTTCTTATTTGAATGTATCGTTGATAATATTGCTAGAATTAGGAAGTAGTTTTGTTAACAAAAATTCAAAAGTGTATCAAAAGATACAGCTATCATCGAATGAAACGTATCGACGTCAATTATGTTTCAAATGTACCATTTTATATTTAGGAAACGTTTAATTCGATTTAAAATTGCCCAGAAATAAACCCTGCAGAATCATTACATAACATCTTTGTTCGCAGGTATAACGTATCTTATATCCAATTAGATAATTCATTTTATAAGAACAACACTTTCAAAGTAAAATTTGTGCCATGTATAAAAAGTCAATTAGAATGAGTGACACAAGCAAAAGCCCTTTGGTATTGAAACTCACTATCTCTTTTAACATGTTCACTGCCAAATTATGACGAATAAAAATTTCCTGAAATCAAAGTAATTCAGATAACGAAACAGAGCATAAAACGTCATAGCACATCATACCCAGTATCCTTGTACATGACAAACACTTGTGCCACCCAAATGTATATGTTAGAGCGTGCACGACGATCTCTGTCTATACCAGATAACAAAAATTCTCTATTCATTGATCGAGGATCATTCGCGTTGTAACCAAGGTAGAATCACACCGAGATCATCTTAATCCAGATCTCAGGCGTTTCGGTATATTATACGTGTTCCATTATCCTGACGGGCGTTTCATCCTCCAAGATGACATTCCGGGAACGTGGTTGAGTTCGGTTCAAAGGACAAAGTCCCTAAGAGGCCCGCGTTCACGCCGAAGGGTCAAGTAGTGGGTGTAGACAGGTCTTGGCGTGTGCATCGCGTTTACTCGCACACGGCCGAGTATTTTGCGGTGAAACTTGTAACCGCGGTCCCTTCCTCTCGCCTCGTTATCATCTTGGTCAAAGAAGGGTTTTCAGCTCGTCCGGTTACAGGCAGCCTGCGGTGGCACGAAGGAAAGGACTAAATTACACGGGTTAAATTGCTTGTACTTCCAGCCAGCACGCCCTGCCTATTACCATCCAATTTTTGTCTTTTGCGAACTAAATCTTCCACCGTTTCGTAGATTCCGGGAGAGTGAAAACAACAGGAGAAAAAGTGTGAGAAAAGGAAAAAAACGTGAAACCAAAAGAACCAGTGGAGAGAAAGAGAGGGAGAGTGAGTGCGATGACGTCGGGGAACAACCGACGAGAGTCGTCTTGACGGTTTTAGGGAAAAGGATCCTTCGTTAGCCAGCCGCCCCACGTGTTTACCAATTTGCACCCGTCTGTTCGGCACTCGAGCACGTGACGAGCATCGCGACAAGCAACGCGATCTATTTCGGTGACTTTCAAGGATCGAAATTATTACTGATACGTACCGCTGAAGGAGCACGGCCGAGTGGAACAAATCTGAACAAACGCCGACCGACGCGCTAATCTCATCCGGGTTATAGTTATACATCGAAATTCATTCGTCGTTTTGATAGAACTCAGTATTCACCGTTAACAAGGTTAAAAATATTGGACTTCAAGGATGAAGTAGGACTTCGATTAATCCTGTTGTTTAATGATGTAGCATTTCTAATAATGATCTAGCGATTGGATTGCTGTAATGAAATCAATTCGAGTTTATACGTTGAGATTCATTCGTCGTTTTGATTGAACGTACCGCTGAGGTAATCCGCCTATAGTGACTCGCTTATACTCAGTATTTACCGTTAACAGAATTAAAGATATTAAACTCTAAAGCTACAGTAGGATCTCGATTAATCGAGTTGTTTAATGATCTAGCATTTGTAACAATGATCTAGCGATCGGAATGCTACGAATCAATGTGAGTTTTACTCCAATTCAAAGAATCTTCAAAATTTGTAACAATTTTCCTGTTTATACAGGAATAATGTTAGTAATAAATTGTGTCGTAGGAACTTATTTCGCATAAATCGTGTCGAGGATCTTTTTCTTACTAATTTATCATAAT